GGGGCCGCTGTGGCCTTCTCCACGGCCGAAGCGGCCGAAGGCCAGGGGGTTCGGGTGACTGGTTGCATCTGGTTGCGGCAGGAAGCCCTGGGTCCACCTGACGACGACCCCCCTCAGGCACTCTTGAAACCGGACCTACGGCTGTTGGAGTGGTTTGCAAACACAGAGTTGCACGTTGAAGATACGTCCCGTCCAAATCCAGTCCAAAGTTCCTGGCAGGCGCCAAACACTCATGGTACTTGATGGTACTTACTTGCTATCAACCAGTTAGGTAAGGTGATTCGGTTGCACTAACTCTGTATAATGAGTTCCCTTGATAATCCGCCATGTATCCTCAATGCCATATCACAAGTCGTATTATTCACAGATGTAGGTGTTTATAGCCTTTGTTATTAGTAGCTTCTTGTTCCTAGTAGTTATGCCAGGAGCTACTAGTAGCGTCCTTGCTCCTGCCCTTTGTTACTAGTAGCTTCTTGTTCCTAGTATATACTTACCGGTTTTTAGAAGCCTCACCATCCAAGCCTTGCTTTGTCAACCATATATACGGTCGCCCAACCGAGGCGGCGGCGCAGAGGCGTGCGACGCACAGATGCTCGAGGCTTCAGTGTGCGTGCGAGAGAAGCTTCTGGCCCTACGTGCGAAGACCAGCTCCGCTGGGCAGGCGGGTGGAGATTTGATCACTGGCGAGTTCTCTTTTTTTTTTGGATGGAGGACCCCTTTTACTAATCAGGTCCCTACAGGTTCACCCATGGACCAACTTCCCTATAAACCTTAGGTACTGCTTCGAAGCTGGCCATGCCAGCTCTTTTGGCTTTCCGCAGCGGCCTCCATTCGGGCCATGGAGGTGAGCACACTATCGCACCCGAAGCGTTTACGAAATGAGCTGGCCAAAGGTCGCTCACCACCCTGACCTGGTTTTCCACTTGCCTTCTACCGGGAATCCATTAAAATCCATTACATATTTGTTTGTGGGTGTGTCCTGCCTCCAGGTTCCTACACCACGGCCACAAACAAAACGTGTCCCTCCCACCTCCGCAGTACCGCGCGCGGCAGGCGCTGCAGAAGCCGTGCGACTTCCCATGAGTGGCGGAGGGGGTTGGACCGTGGTGAGCTCCTTGTGGTATAATTAGGCTATAGTATACCACAGTTTGAAAATAACCCTTGCCTAAAGGCTTAAGAAGCACACTTGCACTTATGAACCAACCAAACCAGGTAGCAGTTTGTAGACAGTAGTTGGGGGAGGTTTACGCACGTGATGTTGGGGCATATGTATTTATAGACATGTGGTCACATGTATTTAGGAGGAGTGGAGCATTTCGTACAAAAACACTTAAAACAAGAAACACGATCTACCGATGAACATGACACAACAGCGATTTTCTGACACCCTGATGTTACACAAGGCACATGTTTATAAACTCTGTGGTGGGGTGACAAGTCGTCATTTCATTACATCGTGTAACTGTGTTCCGCAACATTTGTGCTGTATATTATGTATTGGTTGCAAAAGTACATAGTTCCGGGAAACGAGTTTACATAATAATTGCGATGATTGCAAAGGACCGAGAATGAAGGACAGCGTTTACTAGGATCATTGGAACTTGGTCAAACCTTTGATACATAGGCTCTATTATTGTTTTCGGATGTTGGTTCAGTGTTTCTATAACAAGCCACCGGCTATAGACCTAGGCAAGAAATATATCGAGCGAACACTTGACCGCACTGGGTCGTCATTTTATGATAGACATGTTTATTGTTCAAAAATAGGCATATATAGGTGCCTTTTTCTTTGTAAGATGTATAGCCAACTCCGGCATCATTGAGGAAGGAGGATGTTTAAACATGTTAAGAGTATGGTGAATTCAACGGAAAAATATTCCCGGTGCACCTGAGAATGCTGGGTGGAAGGCATAACTTTCATACACAGCTGCCTGCTATCACATATCACATATCTCGACCATTTTCGAGGCTGAATCACTGCCCATCAGAACGCGCTTTGCCGGAGAATGGCTTTGTTATATGCCCAAGCAATCCATGATTATCCATGTATGGAAGCAACTAACTATTTTCCCTTAGAGATGTCTTCAGGATCGTAAGTAATCATTCCATACATGGATTGTTGGGGAGGATTTGTTTCGGCTTGCCCTTGCCTTACCCACTTGGCCCCCTTTGAGAAGCTGACAGACGATTCAGCCTCCGAGGCTATGGCATCTCTGCGGGCTTGGTGACAGCCACCCCAGCCTCCATTGCCCAAGCGGCCAGTTTGGTCCAGTGACAGTTCGAGTGTCGCAGACACGGTCGAGTGGCCAAAAGCATCCCGAAAAGTAATGGGAGTGAGTGTTGCTGGTGCTTAGGAGGAAGCGACTGAGTGTCGCCGGAGGTATCCATTTTCCCCTTTATATAATGTAGACTCTTGGGTAGTAAACCCACCCCAATTGGATTGAAAAGGCTTTGCCTTTGGGGGGAATATGAATCAAGAGTCTACATTAATAGCCAGCAACGAAGCTTCAGGGAGTTCACTAATTCACCACCTGCTATAGTTCAATTCAGGATCCACTCGCTTCAGGTCCAAAAAGCTCTTTGGAACTCGTGGTGTGATGTGAATCCTTTCTATAACCCAAAGACTCCATGGGACTGGTGTATATGCCTACATTGACCCTTGAAACCACCCCAATGTATGCTAATAATTGCTACTACGTGGAGTGTTCGAGCAACAGTTAGATAGAATTAGAGTATGAATTGCCTCCGCGTGTCCCGCGTGGCCTCCATGGACTCAGTTTGGCTTTGTTTTTGCTTCCAGCCAATGCCAGAAGGTGTAGGATTCTTTTGCCTCGTTGGTTGGACATATAATTGCTGTAAGTATCTTGCCCCAAAGAGTGACGAAAGTATGTATTTTGCCTCTTTGTAAGTATCTCTAATTATCTTGCCCCAAGTGATGAAAGTGTCACTGGGCCGTGCCCACAAAGGGAAGGGCAGTTCCCAACTGCCGGCGTCAACGAATGCGATTTGCTGCAAGTTGTTCTTTACTCGCTCAGCTGAGCTCCTGGGATTCGCTGTGTTTTCTGCGGAGCTCGCGTGCCAATTGATGTGTGAATGCCGCGATTCGGTGTCACCGTTGGTGACACCAAGCACGAAAAGGATATGATCAAGGATCAGAAGATCACCAAACTACGGATGGAACAAACAAGCAGAACAAAAAGCAAATCTATGCAAATCTTACAAGATAATATGCCACTCTTATCTACTCTTTGTTTCTACATATGAATGTGCACTATATATTTATGTGTGTTCATATACATAACACAATACATACTGCTGATGATACAAAGTTATTATACCTCCATGACACTCATACAACTTTGGTGCTAACCTTTACCATCGCGTTGATCGAGCCCAGCCACCTCAGTAGTGTCCCACCTACCCTGAAACAGGGTCCGACTGCCCCGATACGACCGGGTTCTTGGCGCCCCCCTGGCACCCACCCAACCGTCCCGCCGAACCGAAACAGGAGGTAGTTGAAGTGGTACCCCAGTAGCTTAGGCTTCCAAAAATAGACTCTTGGAGACCTATATTTGCTTGGACAACGGGTTCCACTGTGTGAAATGAGAATTGTTCTTGGACCCTGGCACAGGTGACACTTCGGTGTTGAGAGCTGGTTTTTGCCCTGCGACTGCAGGGTGATGCACCAAAAACCTCATGGGCCCATGGGCCCAGCCAATGCCGTAAGCGAGCGACCAGGGCTCCAGCACCCCAATGTGTTTGAGATGTTTTGAGGATGTTGTTTGAGTGGGATGCGCGGATAGGGCAGTTGTTGGTTTGTTGTGCCAGCTGCGTTGATTTGTAGGCATTCCTTTCTTTTTTCCAGACAAGTCTGCAGGATGTTGCTCATCGAAGATAGTGGATGTGTGATCTTCTCATCATTCTTGCTTTGACTTTATGCTTCAAATTCAGATGCATCATCGCAGGGTCAGAACGTTGAGATAAAGAGTGTGGTGTAGCCACCTTTGCTTGGAAACCCATTGTGGAGCTTAGCACCTGAGCTGTCAATGCATGACAGATCATGACAGAAGCAGCTTACGGAATTGTGTTCATGCGGCAGTTGTTTTCTCAGATGAATTTAAATCCGTTCTATGTTCTACGTACATACATGGTTTCGGCACCACGATTGAAACAAGCAAGAAAGTCCTGACCCAACAGCTGTGAGCAACCAGCAGCTACTGACAAGTGCGCTACTTGCTGAGATAAACAGAGTATCCCATTACCCGGTTTGGAGGGTTATGGGCTTAGGAGGATTGGGAGGGTTAACCACTGCTGCGACTCTAGCTGTTTATACCTTATCCTGCTGATTTTCTCCCATTCAATAGGGTCTCCAATACGCACCCTGATCCGACATGGAATTCCTTGCACTCAGCAGCTATTCTTCTATTTCTTCCACCAGCCCAACCACTCTGATGCTATCGCCTCGCTCTCGCTATGGCCTCGCTGTACGGCCGGGATTTGGTCGGTTTAGTCGAATTGGTGCACGTCGACTGCAGACGTGCCGATACCACCGATGCCCCCAAACAGCCCATGTGTTTGTGGCTCACAACCTAGAGCTCGCTTCACCCTGGTAGGTTGCCCGAGGATCAGTCGTCTATTCGGTTCATTTGACCAGTGGGAAATACCAGGGCCCCCCGGTGCCATGACGTGGTCGATGTTCGGTCGCAGGCTTGGCGTCGGAGACTGTTCGGTCCACCATCCGTGAAGACGAGGATGGCAATGAACGAGGGGCGCCCGAAGACAGACAACATTTGGTTCTAAGCTCAACAAGGGAAGCCTGCTCTCGGTTCTCAACAGTCAACCCTTTGAAGAGTCCCAGCGGTCTCAACTTTCTTGAACAGATCAATCCAAAAAGACTGAAACCATCCAGAACTCCAAGGTCTCAAGGGTCTCTTCTCATTTTCTCTAGGTTGTGCACAGGTTCAACTGCCCTTTTGTTGTTTTTGCGTTTCGGCTTTGAGGCCTCCCGAGCGAAGAGCACCCGCAGAAAGAGAGGGAGCTTCTTGGTGGCAAAAGGCAAGGAAGACATCACGAAGGAAGGACCTGTACAAAGCCACGCCTTGAATCTTGAACGATGGGACTGTGAACCACTTCTTGAAACCAGTCCCATCGTGGTGGGTGTTTGGCGCGAGATTTGCTGTTGGATGTGGCTGGAAGAATCATTCTTTGTCTTCAATGAAAACAGGGACAAACAAAGGTGCTTTGCGAGTCTATTTTCAGTAGGTCCGTGACGAGCTTTTTTCATCAAGGGTTACAGCACGTTACAGCCATCCACAGCCACAAGTGGATTTGGGCCCCGTTAATGAGCAACTCAGAAACCTGGGCATCTCCATCCCTGCCCTGCACAATCTATGTCGTTGCTCATGCATTAAGAAGATTGCCTATATAATCCATCGTATTTTAATCGTATATACAAATAATATATACTATATATATGACTATAGCAATCTATAGCGGTGGTTTGATGGTGGTAAGCACGCCGAAAAGAAGGCTGGGCAATGTTTCCTGAGTGGTCTTGTTCATCACACACCTACAAGTTTACAACGGAGGTTAAGCATGGACACATGCTAAACACATGTGATGGGGCTATCAAGTTATCATCACTTACAGGTCCCAATGTGTGATGCGCTTCCCCCCCCGCTCTTTCATTCACATACTTTGACTCACTATTGGCATAGCCGCGATCTTCTGGGCGCTCAAGACACAAAATATGGCCCCTTTTAACTGTTGTTCCCACCTCGACGCAGTCCCACGACGCCGGGCGCACCGTCCCAACGACGCCAAACCGTCGTCGCCCTCCCAGGGTTGGTTCACCGAGCACGGCGGGCGTGGACGCCTTGGATGAGGAGAAGCAGAATGAGACTGAGAACGATCACGAGAACGGCGAGGTGCCACCGGGGTGCCACTGGTAAGTACTGGAGCCGATGCTGTTCGACCCTGGACACGGGGGCCATTGGGATTTGCTTGTTATGCTACTGACGCACTTAAAAAGATGTTTTCAGGGATTAGCAAGGGATCTAAGACAGGCCAGTGAAGTGTTTGAGGTGGTACACAGTAGTTATATTATGTTATATTCTTTCTTGGGTGTAGTAGGGTTGGTACTTCTGGTTAAGTCGCATCATAAATCTCCAAAAGCTCGGCCGAATGCGCCGATGTCATTTGGTTTCATTCAGCGGCCCTGTGATGATAGAACACTTGGCTGGGAGTAGGTGCCAGATTCCATGCTTTACTTTACTTTCTATGGCTGTGTGAGGAAGACTTGTTGGCTTCCAGCCATGCAATCCACGTGAACAGTCCAAACATAGAAAATGCCTATGGCCCGACTAGGGCGACTGTGGGCCGGATCATCCACCGGACCAGTGACGCCGGAACGCACATGAGTGAAACTCAGGCCGGACCGAAGACACACTCCGACTTGACGACACCAAGCAGATTGGGACTGGCAGATTTGATACTGGCTTCAAGAGGTTGTAGGCATAATTGATAGATTATATCATATAGGGATCCATTGTGAAACATCAACACACTATCACACTGGAAGTCAAACAGCACCTCCAGGGTGTCGCAAAAAGAATGCCCTGAACGTCTAAGACGTTCAACAAATTGTTTGTGACCCGATTTCAAGAACTCTTTTTTCTTCGGGCGCAGGACATCTTGAACACTTCACTGGCACCACCATGGAATTCCATTGATTCCTTTTGTTCAGGTGAAGTGTTTGAGGTGGTTCACCATCATGGTGAATTGAACTTTTGGAATTCTATTTGATTCCTTTTGCAGACACTCCATGGGAGTGGTATATTCACTGTGCCTGCATTGGGGCTGGTTTTTAAGGGCCATGGACAGGCATACATGTTTCACATGCATGCAACCTACATTGATCCCTTTTCAACCACCCCCTGGCCATTTTTCAGCGAATAGGCCGGTTTCAGAACAGGTCATGGAAATGGATCCGAAAGCGTACCACCAGGATGACCTGGGCGCCACGTTGCCAACACGGGAGGGGATGCCCCCGTTGGCTCCCATGAGGGCCGTGGCCTACGGGGCATTGCCCTGCGCCATGCCTCATGCAGCTCGGAGGAGGTATCAGTGATCAGTTTGGTTGATGCCACAGACTTGTTCAGGCTCCAGGTGCCTCAGAAAGCCTTTTGACCCTGCAAACCTACCAAGCCCCTTCAACAAGGAGGTACTTGGAGCTCCAGGATGAGGTATTTTCTTTCTTGGAAGGATTGATGCATCTTTCATGTGCAGCAGGGTCCCTTGCATTATAATTTGTAAGTCACCAACCTTCCCGCTTTCTTTCTCCTTTCTCCTGCAAGTCCCCTAAATTCCCCTAGAACTGGTCAAGACAGTAGGCTAACCGGGCTCAGACCCTTTCTTAGCAGCCCAAGGCTTCAGTACTGGATTGTGGTTCTCATACCATGAAACATCATGAACCTCCAGACATGAACATCATCAACATTGCTTTGATGAGGGAAGGTCTCTTTCTACAGTGGTTGGTGCTCTAACAGTTCAACAGGGGCCTTCACTGAACGGTTTGTAATCTTCTTGCGACCCTCTACCTTACTGCCTGCTCCGCCTTCGCCCTTTCGTTTGTTTTTATGCTGCAACGCTCGTTCGCCCAGAAAGACAGATGCCCGCCCTGACATCTGGGCGGCAGGAGAGAGGACAGATGCCCATCGGTTGGGGTTGGGGTTAGATCTCTGAACTAACATGGAAGTGGAGTTCACCACCACCTGTTCGTAAAAGGACAGTCATCTTCCATGTAACGAACCATGCCATCCACTTCCATGTGAATGCATTCGTGGAGGCACTATGCTGCCCGATCTCTGAGGCGCAGCACTATGCGCCCGAGATGATGTCCTGCAATCTCGTGGGATTGCCCTCGGAGGACCGGAGCCACAGCAGGGGCGGCGGTTTGGAGGGTGGGGGATTGGGGTGGGCCAGGGTCTAGGAGAGAACGATCCAGAGTCTTTGCTCATGTTGCCCCAAAGCATCAAGTTTAAGAGAGGTCTTCAAGCTGTCGGACTTTTAAAGGAGAGAACCCATGGAGAACGACCCAAGAAGGTCTTCACGGGTGCTTCGTTCCCCAAGACCGGCTGGTGCCAGCAGGAAGGAGCGACTGAGTGGAGCAAAGGAGGTATCCACTTCTACCCTTTCTAAATCGGGAGATGTTCACTTGCTAGGTCTTGCTAGAAAAGGTGGTGGTCCTTGAACGCCTCAGAGGTTGCTTAAGGAAGTGATGGGACTGGTTCGTGAAACTGCTGGTCTGTTCATCTCAAATTCATGGGACCCGCCCAGGGCACACAACAAGCCAAACACCTTTCAAAACGACGGCTGGAAGTTCACGGTTGCACTGTCTTTAGGGAGAAGTTCTCCAGAAACCTACCTCATGGATGTTCACCCTCCAGTAGTTGATCTTTTGTCCATTAACTCGATTTCCAAAGCATATGATTTGCCGGACATCAGCAGTTTCACCTGCAGTGGACTTGTATCGGTGGCTGAGATATGTTGAGGGTCGATGTAGGAGTCCACCATCCAGGACATGATGCAAGAAGGCTATGAAGCTCAATGGGGACCTTCCGGTCGAAACGACTTGGGGTTGATGAAGGCTGGCTGCTGCAGATGCGGTTTAGCCGGTTGGGTTGGGGCAGAGATCCTCTGGGATGGGCGGCCTGTTCTGATTTTTCGGCCCCAGCATCATCTTGGTCTCGCGGATGTCGGGGTGTTTCCCAAATCCGCCTGTGACTTGTAATGAGGCACTCTGTCACATGCCGCCCTTTCGAAAGACTCCTGAAATCAACCCCGAGGCCTGATCAGGCCGATCTTCCAAATGGTTTGCCTCTTCTTCATCCATAAATCCAACCCCAATGGTGGAAGTTCTGCATAGACAGTTCAAGTATTTCTTCCATGATTTTGGCATCAATATTCCATGGAAGGTATTCTTCCATGCCATTCATCCAGACCTCGGACTTCCTCACCAGCTTCCGATCTCCACCGCTCCACCGTTCGGAAAAACCGCGGTGCGCTCCTCCAGGCGCTGGGCGCCAATGCCGTGCGGCTCTACCACTCCTTAGGACCGTCGCCGGCGAGGTCCACTCCGAACGAAGCGGAGTGAGAGACCGATGTTTGTCCTAGTGTTTGTCCTATTAGACCTCTTAGTATACTAAAGTCCTATGTTTGTCCTATACTAAAGGAGCTTTTCGACCTATTAGTTATTGGACATATGTCTGGCCTATTAGACCCTGTCCTATTCAGAAAGGCCTTTAGTTACTAAACCATCATCATCCACGTTTAACTGGTGATGGGACAGACCCAAGATCAATCCTTCCCCCGTAATTAGTAGTGATGGATGTGTAAAACGCCTCTTCATCCTCTTCAGATGGAGGGGTTGAGAATAGGATCCAAAGAGTCTACAGTATTCTACAGTCTACAGATGTCTACAGTACAAGTTGTTCTCTTCTCGCTAGGGCCTTCATCCGTAGCTCGAGCCCAACTTTAGGGTCTCCCTTCGTCAAGTGGAGACGGAGCCTCGACACGACCAGTTTGGGACTGGAATATATGCCTATGCATTCACCTTCGAAGCCAAACCAAGGTCGAAGGTGAATGTAGGGATGGCAGTCCCATTTGACAGTCCGTCAAAGGCAAACATGGAAGTCCCATTTCTGGTGTTTAGCTTGCTGTAGATTTATCTCATCAAAAGTATGACCCGTGCCATGGAACTGCCACTCGATGCATGGTTGCCCAGACCATGGTCTCTTTCGTGGCCTTTTCGGCAGCGTTCCACTGCGACCCGGGAGACCCCGAGCGTTCCAGCGTTCCATACAGCCCAGTGCGGGCGCCACAGCCTGGCCATCCAAGATCTCAAGACTTGGGATGTGAGTCTTTCGCGCAGCTGGTGGGCGATTTTTCCCGTCCAGTTCCCAATGCGACCGGACGGGATGAGATGGAGTTTCTGCAAATCTCTCACGGCCTCATTGACGTATCCCCCAACCAATGGTTTGCGTATGTTTCTGTATACAAAGTCTCTTAAGCTATTGTGACGTTACAAAGAGTCAGAGTGGCTCGTGATCACAGAGCCGTGCGACGCCGTGCGTCTCTGGTGCGAACGATTCAGCATGGTTTAGCCATCTAAGATGGTGACTTCGGAGCCATCGAATGAGGCCGCTGCAGGACAAGCCTTTGACTAGGCCCTAGCATGCTGGAACCTCGTGTTTTTGAAGCGGCTCTTGCTTCAGCCGCCGGAGGCATTGCCAGGCTATCATTTGGCAGGGCCACCTGCAAAGCCACAATACTGTTCAAGCGGCCCTGACCACTACGATCATAATGGCTTTGACTATTTGGAAGCAACTTGGTGTGAGAGTTGCCACGGCATTTTTCAATATCTTACTCGTTCTTTCCAACAACATGTTGAACAAATACAGTTTTGCTACAGGTAGGCCTGCCATGCTCTATTGATTTGACATGATTTGACCATTCTTGTCATTGCGGGTACACCTGTTGTTTTGACGAAAATGCTGAACGTTACGGCTTATCTCCATAATGACCAGAAAATATTGGTCATCTGGCTTTGCTAGGTATACCGCAAAGCAATAATGGGGTGGGTAAGCTTAGTTTCCTTTTGGGTGGGTGGTTCAGGAGGCACTGACCATGCATTTGGAGGCATTCGCCATGCCATCCCACTCGTTCACTCCGTTTTGTCTTTGCAGGACTCGATGGCAAGGGCTCTCACCAGGGCTTCTTGAATCGAGCGCAGAAGCTCAAGCTCAACGTGATGCCAGGCGCCGGGTAGTTCTTCTACAAACAGCCACTACATATAGATGCCATCAGCACAGAGGTTATAGTGAACAGGTGACTCTACAAAGTCGCCCCTGTCGCGCCGGCCAGGTTTCCATAGCACGGAGCCGGCCATGTGCGACCACTTCGATTGCCACGACGCGTGGAAAGCCGCGACGCTCAAAGGCTTCAAACAAGGCCAGCTCAAAAGCGGGCGAGATGGTTGGTGCCCAAAAAGAAATGCCGATGGAGTCGATGGTCGATGGTTGATGCATGCTGCATAAAACCTCCCTGGTTATTGGTGATGTATCTTCAGGCTTGGGGATGACATGGGTCGGCTTGGGGATCCGGTCGTTCCCTGAGTCGAGCAATAGATGGAAGGTCCCGTTGAACACATTAGTTGAACAGAAGGATGACTAGCTGACTAGCAGTTTCAAAGACCAATAGGCACATCCAGATAAATGTAAAGGACTAAACTATTGGTTTTTAAAGGGTCGTCCCACAGCCTGGCAGGACTCAATTAACATTACGGTTTAAGGTTTGGTTGCTTAAAGGATTTTCCACCATACCAAGCCTTACAAGTAATACTTGCAAATGTTGATGGCGGTTGATGGTCCGTGGAGCGTCTGCAAGTGGTGCGAGGAGTTATTCGCTCCAGCCGTGTTGGCTGCTAACTTTGCTCACCTTAGGTAGTTTGTCTCACTTGTGGCTTAAGGGCCCCCCTGACCCGTATTTGTTTCATGTTTCAGTCGATTCCCATTCGGCAGTCCAACGAACGATCGAACCTGCGGTCCGACCCGGTCAGGGGGTCCCCTGACCTGGAGGAAGACTTGAGTGACCTCATTCTGATATTCTGGGATCTCAGGTTATGGCCTTAAAAACACATCTATACTAGTAACAAGTGCATGGCTACTAGTAACCATGCATCGCTACTAGTAGCTTCTTGTTACTATTAGTAAGTAATGCCCTTGTTACTAGTAGCGATGCACTTGCTTGTGTTTTATTGTGTTGTTGTCGTTGTGATGGAAACGGATGGAAGCGAGGTCCATTGCTATCTATGTTGGCAATCCTCATTTCATGACCCCTCAGTCAGTTTGCATTCGATCACCAGTTGTATTTCAGTGGTTTCAGAGGTTCTAAGGCACAAGTTACCCCAAGTTGGGTGGTTTATATGGACCCCCATGTTTTCAGGACATCTTGGGGTGCCAGTACCATCGAACCTTTGAAACCACTGTAATTGACTCACTTGGTCTAAAACCGTTGCCTTCTCACAGCATCGATCACCATGTCCAGGCTTTTTGGTCGACAACCGCTGGCATCCGGCCACCTGGCATGTTTTCGAGACACGCGTGGGATGGACTGCCTTAGTTCTTCGTTGAAGAGATAGAAATCGACCCAACCAGCCATGAAAATCAATCGTGTTCATTTTTCAAATGCCTAGCTTGCTTGGGCATATCTCCCTTTATCATCCGTGATGATTGGTCCCCAACGGGAAATACAGTTAATCTATTATATAATCAAGTGATGTGACACTTCCTGAGTGTTAAGCTTTGGAGACTGGGAAACTCAGTTGGGGAATTCTACTTACCCTGTTTTCCTTCCTTGCCACTGGGAGCACCCCCAAATCTTCCAAGACCACTTGACCACTCGCCGCGGCCTCGCGCAGTTTCCCGTGTGGTTCGTGTGAATTGTCCGCTGCCAGTGTGCGGTCAGGCCATCAGCACCGTCATTCTCATGAACGAGCCGGACTTCTATGACAACGACGCCCTGTGCACCGACCGAGGCGAGTCGACGTGTCGACCCGTCACGTCGTCGGTCACGTCCGTCCGGACGTCGCGCGCGATGCTGTCTGCGGCGCTGTGGAGGCGCCTGGTGCCGCGTGAAGGCAGTGTTAAGCGCCATGGACGGTCTTCTGCAAGCAGAAGAAGAGGCGCAAGTGCTACCCAGCCACTCGGTCGAGATTGGTATATGGCTCCCCCAAGCTGCAGGTGACATCAGCGGTTGCGAAGAACCAGAAAATTGAATCGACGATCAATTTCAGGACTCTGTTGCAAGAAGCCTGATCATGTTTTTCTTGCTGCTGGCTTTGGCTTTGGCATTGCTCTCTCCTTTTTGGGGGACCCCCTAAACTGGTACACCTTTGGTTTGTAGAATGACACTTATTTATAGATGGCTTCTCCAAGACTCCATGCCTTCTCTCTTAAAACCCCAGACACTCCATGTATGTATGCCATATATGCCGATCAATTGACCCCCCAAACCACCACCCCTGGCCGTTTCTCGGCGGTCCTACGGCAGTCCCGTCGTTCGGGCCCGAACCAACCCCGAAGGTGTCGGGTCCGAGCCCGAACTCGAGTTGCCCGGACTCGAGTTGTCGGGTCTAGGAGTCCCATCGTGAGTGGAGGTGTAGCGGGGCACCACCCCGAGTCCCATCCGTTCGTTCGGCACCCCGTTGACTGTGACTGCCTCCGGTGGTCTCGCTTCTTTTCACCGAATGGCACGAAAAGTGCCGCGCCGCCGGAGAACCTGGACCGATGTTCGGCGAAGGCCCGAGACAGGTCGTGGCCGGGCAAAGACCAAGTGAAGAAATGCTTTCCGATTGGGGAGGGCAGACTTGTAGGGAATGCCCTAGAAACCTCCCTTAATAGACCCCCGAAGAAACATCAATCTCAAGCGCAGGACTGGCACAGCCAATCGTTCTGTTTGCTTCTTATTTTGTTTCATGTGTTGCCCTAAGAATCCGAACGGGCTCCTGCATGGCAGGGGGTCGGACCCGACACCGAAACGCAGGGGTCGTCCCTTCCGCCGGTCAGGTGACGTGAAGCTCACGGTGACCTGGTCCCTCGGCGGGCGGTTTGGACGCTTTGGACGGTTCCTGGCTCGGAGCACCATGGGGTTTCTCCTAAGAGAGAGTTATATAAGTGACCTGAACTAGGACCCGTCACCTGGGGTACCTATCCCTAAGGGTCCAGGAGCATCCTGAGGATGTCCTTTGACCCCCCAAGACCATTCTCAGGAAGTACTTTCACCTCCAAGACTCCAAGACCATCCTCAGGAGGTACCTGGACCCTATGGGTATGGGATAGTCTAGTTCAAGGTCATTCAACCTCTGGCTTGCGTCAAAGCGGTGAGGAGCCCGATGGTTTCTGGGCGGGTCACCACCGAAAGATTGGCACTGGAGGCCACCGCACCGGGACTGGCAGATGATGTTCAGGATATTTCAGGGGTCATGGAGTGGCATGGAGTGTTTTGGGATGTTTTGGGATATTTGGGTGGCATGGATGCTATATTTCATTATATTTCACATCGATACATCGATACATCGCATCTACTTCCAAAACAGTTCCAAGTCGTGATATTTTATGTGTTTTTTTTTAAATTGATCGATCCTTGCGCACGCGCATGTCCGTCTCTTTTGGCTCAAGCTTTGGCACAAGCTCACCTAATGACGTACCATGTCCTTCTTCTTCTAGCGCATCTGGTCAGCGGCCAAGAATCCTGGGAGAGCATCAGGTGATCTTGCTACGTTCTTTGAATTCCTCCCCTCTTCCAGAATTTTGGGGCATTGCTAGTAAGCTTCTAGCTTAGCACCTAACTGTCCAGGTGTGGCACTTGGATTTTGAGAGACTTGATTGCTAGCTGGAGAGTTGGGTGCTGATAAGACAAGGGCCAAGCCCCGCCATGGAAAGGCCAGCACCACCCAGTTCAGGTGGTTCTCTAGAACCCCCCAGTTCAGGTGATTGCATTTTGCTTGCAATCACCACCCAAACTGGATTCTTTTTGCGCTTTATGTTTGGTTTCCTCCCACCTCGGTCAGACCAAATCCAAGGAATGTTCCTCCCTGCTCCAACGGGTCCCCGATGAACATGCAGGGCCGACGCAGATGCTCGGCTCGCCTTCGGAACGGCCGCCCGGTGGAGCATGGAAGCTCCCGTTCACATGTCCTCAGTCAGTGAGTCGGTCAGTCGGTCCAATCGCGCATGTGGTTATTTGCGTTGGGATCTTCCCTCTATTCAATCGTTTCTTGTCAAGTGAGACACTGGGCTAATGAACCTAAGATTGAGGGAATTCTATTAGGGCTAGATTTCTCCAAAAGTTCTTTCGTGCTTTCTAGTGCAGTTTGTCACATATGTATAACGCCTGCAGCCTAAATAAGATCTAAGCTGATCTAGATTACAGTAAGTATGGAGTGCATGTTTGTTCTTGCGATCTAAGGATCCCCTGCATCATCCACCAAACTTGGAAGACACATCGCTTGGAAGGGGAACAAGTGGATTTCGCCGAAACATGGAAACAGATGAATCCAAGCTGCGAGCACCATGGCCCATGCAACTCTTCGCTCGGCTCCCGGTAGTGAAAGATATTCTGGAAAGCGACAGCCTGTAAGCTGTTTTTGTTTGTGGGTTATGCCAAATATACAGGGCCCAGGGATATCCATTATATGCCTTCTCACAAGGTACGACTGGACCCTCCAAGCCTACATTAAAGTGTCTCCAATCCCCTTTCAAGTGGCATGGGGAGCCATAGAGCGCCACAGGGATAAATTACTTTGACTGCTTTCCTTGGTAAATGAAAGGCGCCAAGGACAAGAAGGTAAGAGGGACTTATAATGTGGCGTGACGTTTCTCCGCCAAAAACCAAACCACACCATTTGGTGGAACGCAACCCCTAAGGCCCTACAGTGAATAAACCACCCAACTGGGGGTAACTTGTGCCATCTCTTTCAATCCACTATCATGTTTTTGTCATGAGCCTTGTTTCAGTTCAAAAGGATGGCCCAAAATTCCAAGGTCCCGGTCCTTCCTGCTCAGCGGGTTGGGCGGGATCAAACCCGCTCACCTCGTCCCGGAAGGAGGCCAAAACTGTTCGTCTTCCCAAGGTACAAACTTTGGAATGACACCGAAGTGGAGCAGTTCGTCGCAGAGACCTCTGCCGATCTCATTTGGCCTTTGTGGCAAGGCCTGAAGCCGGTGGAGCGCGCGGACGTGTTTCGCTACCTGGTGGTCTATGAGCAGGGCGGCTACTATGCAGACGCTTGGCTGCCAGGTGAAGAATGTACTTAAGGTCATGCAGCTTTGCTTGGAAAAGCTTCTCTAATTTACCAAAATTCATAGCAGGATGCTCAGGAAGGTCATTATGGTCAGCACTGGGATGCTCTTAATCGGACCCTATGCTTCTAGGATCATTTGCGGAATGCTTTGAAAGATTCTGGGAACTTTCAGACTTTCAGCCTTGAGACCATCGCCATGAAAAGGACGTGGACGTCTCCTGCACGCGGCCCATCCGCGAGTACCCCGTCCCCACAGAGACGCAGATGATTGTGGGCTATCAAGGCGGGTCGACTGGGCTGTTCCGCTCCAGTCGAACAATGTCCCGTTCTCCGCTCTATGAAGCCTCCGTTTGTTTGCTGTGAGGTGGTTGAAGTGGGGGGGTCCAATGTTTCGGTGCCTTTCCGCCCTCCATTTCGGCACTACGTAAGCCGACGGGATGCGGGGGGCTTTTGGATGGGGGGGTACTCCCTACACATCTCACCTCCATCCTCGCCCTCCCGATCCTGGGCCTTGACACCGGATCCCACGAGCCGTTTGCAACCGTCAGAGCGGGAGGGAGAATCGCGATCGAATCACCTGGCAGGTCACCTGTTTTGGGGGCCCCTTAAATTCCCCACTAGAAACGGACAGGTGGGACAAAGATGAAGAAGTTTAACCATGCAAGGTATCAAGGTTCGCCTTGATCCAGAACAACTGAGGGAGGAAAAGCGATGCAAATCGATGGTTGATAGGATGCGAATTCAGGTGAAGGGCACCCAGCGTGTTTGGGCGCCCAAGCCTAGACTCCGACGTTTCTCACTCATGAGAGTCAGCGTTCTTCGTATCGTATGGGCGAAAACAGGTGAACCATTATTACCCAGACTCACTCCATGGGACTGTCATCTATGCTGCCCCGACCCCTCTGGCACCACCCCAATGTACATGGGTCGTGTTTGGGTTAGTTATTTGAAGCAACACCCACCCCATCACGAGATGTTCCGTTTCTCCCACCCGTCGCCGTTTCGACGGTTCCCCAAAAGACAGAAGAACTGAAGAACCAGGTCACCCCGTCCTCAGAGTCCGGCGAAGTGAAGGGACTGGACCTTGACCTCATGGAGTACTGGTGTTGCAGGGTCCGGACCCTGACCGGACCGTGACCTTGCTTGGGGGTCGGTCCAGGTGGCTACAGGATGCCTGGCACGAAGCCCACGAGCCCTCTACAGCGTGTCCTGGTTTGGCATGTTTGCAGGTGATTTTGTATTTGTTTCCCCCGGAGACCTGGGGAGACCTGGGGATACCTGGTTTTGTTGATAAGGTGAGTGATACCTGAAAATACCTGGGGAATCCTGGGGAATATTTTTCGATTGTTCCATGTTCCACCAATCCAAGGTGTGGAGCAGTTCGAGCAATGGTTCTTTGCCTCAGCGCCCCGGAATCCCGTGCTGCGACGAAGCTGAGCAGCAGCAGGTGGTCCACCTGACGTGTAGTCGTAGAGATGCGAATGGCGTGGATCTCCCTGCATGAGCGGCTCAAGAACCGCTTCTAGTTCAGTGGAAAACCATGGAACACCTGCAGATCACCGTTTTGGGGGATTGCACGCGAGAAAACAACACCTTTGAAGAACGGTTCAGCAGCAGTAGCTTGATTTTCCAGGCAAACGGCTCGGGATTTAATCTTTTAGAGTTCGGACTGTTGACAATTTTTCCAAGGAACCTTGGAGCTGGTGGTGCAGAAGTTTCATTGGAGGGTGGCCGGAGCTGCAGTTGGTGTGAAAGTGAGTTGTGGGGTGAAACCTGCAGTTTGGTGTTCCCAGTTGCAGGGTATACATCTTCTTTGGTGGCTTGGAGACTACAAATGGCAGCTGCACTTTCCCACCAGAAATGCACGAGTTTTCGACTTTCAGACAAAATATGTAAAATATACTCATGCAGCTAGTCATTAGCAAAAGCACACAGCAGGTTTTTGTGTTTTTCCTTTTGCCATTTGCATGAATCACACTCATTTGTTCTCGCATGGTGAACCACCACCACCACCCAAATCCAAGACCCACCATGACGGCTGAAGCTTTGGTGGCCCCGAATATCCCTGAATCTACCACCCACTAGAGTGAATGAGACAGGTTTAGACCAACAGATGCTAGAGTTGGTGTAGGGATATGCATGCTGCACCATCAAACAGGAAAATCTCATAAGCATTTGAATTTCAGCATCAGCAAGACCCCTTATAGAGGCCGACCAGTGGAGCAAAGTGTATTCTGATGGCGGTGAACTAGCTAGCCCCAGGGGCTCCGAGGTGTTCATTGGTTCAATTCACCAGATTTAAGGGATGATTTAGGGATGGATTTTCAAGGCTAAACATCATCTCACATCCCAAACATCATCCAAATTCACATCCAAAGTCACATCCAAACAAGCCATCCATGCCATGCCATTCATGCGTCCAGAAGGCCTGCGCCGAGCGAAATCGGCCCCAAACCCGTCCTTCTCCTCCTATGCCCGACAAGGTCCACAACCCCTGCGAGATGACGGGCCCGGCCACCTTCAGCGGCTTGAACTCCGAACGAACGGACCACGAAGGCAAAAGGGTGATGTTCTTTTTGGATCCTCGAAACGGCCAAACCACGTGGCACATGCCACCCAAAAAAGCCTCCGGGCGGCAAACAGCACTCGTGCTGTTTGAAGATTGTGCAACATGCTCGGAGGCATGTTCCTTTCGGGGCTTTGATTTCCAGTGCTTCTTTCTCCGGAAACACTTGAGGACGGTTTCGATGTGGATGTCAGTCAGCCACGGAAACTTGTGGCTCAGCACATGTTCTACCCGAAGCATGCACACTGGATGGATACCGTCGCTCGTCACAGCCGCCTCCCGTGAGAACAAAACGAATCAGCCAGAATCGCACATGCAGATACCTGATCACCCGATGAGAACTGAGTTGTCTGCTTCGTGCCTGTATGATCTGTATGGAAGATGTGGGATGGTGTTGTCACTGTCCTAGTCTGGATTCCACGTATTATCATTATATCTATACCTTTTGAGAGGGTTATTTTCACATGGAGACACTTGTACTTGTAGGGGCTTTTCCGGGTCTGCTATGTTTTTGAAGAGTCGTTCGGGCTCGGAGCCCCACACGAAGGACGTGCCCCCGGGAGCCTTCGCCTCGACGAAGACCTTTCGAGCTTCTCCGACACTTGTTCTTCGAGAAAAAGCGTACTCTACTTTTCGATGAGGTGCCATGGGGTCCTATTCAAGCTTCCCAGAACGATTTAGCTCAGCAGTACAGTGGTTTCAGAGTAGATGGCACAAACCCCAAGATGACTTTTAGATAGGGGTCCATATAAACCACCTCTTGGGGATTGCGCCATCTTCTCTGGAACCACTGTACTACAAGACAAGCTTACCCCAAAGTTCGGAGACCGAGGACTTGGAGGCCCATAGGGTCCTAAATGAGACACCTCGGACTTGAGAAGCGCTTCGGGTGGTCGCGTTTCAGCCTGAGGTGATGCAATCCATGAGTATCTTGGAAAGCAGCACAATGTGCCAACCCCGTTTCAGGACAGATCGCACCGTTTCATGATTCATGCTCAAGGCCTTTTAACCAAGTGGTCCTTCTCCACCCAGAAACGGATCGCACAGCCCCATGAGATACATGTCTTGAACTTGTGAGGCCGAGTTCGGCTTAGTCCCAGGGGGAGACCCCCAGGCTGCCGAGGTCAGAGCGTCCGACCGCTGGAGCTGAGCTTGCGCGCAGGTACTTGGAGAAGGCTTCTGATCAGGCCATGGCCGATGAGGTCTCCTTGCGGAAGCTGGAGCTGGAGGGTGTCGTCCTAGGCGGGACGAGGGTCGAGGGTCGGGAACATATTATGCACCTAGAGTTGAGTTGGGTCAGAGGGAGCAATGGCATATATACAGGGAGTGGCTTGAATTTGATTAACCAAAACCATATTTTAGTGTTGATTAAAGACCTCTGTGCCTGCATGGTAAGACATCACCACACATCTCGAGGGGTCTGATTCATCAGCAACATGAGGGCACAGTGTCCCATGTGGAACTCGCTTCGGGCGTCCCATCTCGCCTTGTGGGAAAAGATCTGGATGCTCGCCCCCTAGGGATCCAAGTACCTTCTCAGAAGGTGATTGGAGGCACTGTTATGTAGGTTTGGAGGGTCCAAGTACCTTCTGAGAAGGTACTTGAACTTGGATTCCTAGGGGCCTTGTGGTTTTGTTCACTGTGTTTACCCCAGTAGAACTGATCGGTCGGATCGCGGGTGTTTTTTGGTCATGAAGAGATGGACCGAATGGGTACCTTGATGTTCTGGAGAGGTTGAAGGGGTTCAGGAATGGTCACTTCAGAACTTGGATTCATCAGAGTCAGAGTTTTTGTGGGATAGTTGGGCTGAGCCTTGCCGGCGCAGCTCTCAGACATTCTCAGATGCTTTGGAGATTTTGAAGGAAGAGACACTTTAGGTCGGATGGTTTGGATGGTGCACCACGGGGTTGGCTTTATGCCTGCAATGCAGGGTGAGATTGGGATGACATCGACGGCTTTCCCTTTTGTCACGCACATCTGGAATGAGATGAAATTCTGAAGTAGAACGATTAGGATATAAGAAGGTCAAGGTCCCTTTCACATGCGTTTGTGTGGGATGCACTGGGCTTTCAATGTATTGCCCTTACCATGTTTGCGCTTCACGGAACCGTGCCTCGCTCCTTGAGGCGAAGTGAGCTATCCACCTGAGAAGCTCTATGGCAGCGACTGGAAGATTTGGATCTTCGCCGCGGGCAGAGTCAGCTGGACCGATTCGCGTCGTGCGGATCGCTTCGCCCCGGTCGAAAGACGTCTCCACGCCTCTGCCGACCGCACCCGTGGGGCGATGTGGGGCGTGGACCTGCTTTTCAGATGTGGCGCATCGCTGGGCATGGCCCCTACGTGCCCCTACTGGCCCCCCCAAAAGGTGGAAGACCCTGGCCCTACTTGCACAACCCTGAAAACAGAGGTGTTTTGCGATATCCTCACTTCTGAGACTGACCAAAAAAAGTTTGCAAAATCAGTAATCACTGCATGTCAGATGTTCTGCGATGTTTTCTCGTTGCCTCTTTTGGGCTTCACTGTTGTGCATTTCCGCCTGAAGCGTTGATCCCTGAGCTGAGCTTTCAGTGTGCAAGCTGCAAGTGAGAAACAACGAAACGCATTACGTGGCAAGATCACTTTCTTCCTAAGCACACTGAAACCTTTACTGAAGCGCCATAGCAGGTCCAGACCATAGCAGATGAGCTCCAAAGCAGTGTAGCTTGATGTGTGTTTGGTTGTTTGTTTTCGACTCTTGGACCATCTCCAGTGCACTCACTTCGTCTAAGCTGTGCTTGGTGGGACGCGACTGACGCTTCCGGCCCGGTCTTCGACCGTCCCAGGTGAGCTCCGAGAAGACCGCCAAGGCGGATCCACGCTACGAGTGCCGCGGACCGGTAGATCACATCGGTCGGGTCGACGGGTCAGTCGTCGGGCGTGGCGAAGCATCCACTGCGTGGTTTGGGTTTGTCCCCGCTGCGATGGCGGTGAAGAATTGGACCGAGCCCATCCTAGCCATCATCCACTGGGCCCTCTTCTTCCGTGGGATCAAAACGGAAGGCTTCGCCAGCCACGCCCTGCACGGGTGGCAGGGAAGATCGCCCTGGGACGGGTGGAGGACGACGTCAATCGGTGGTGCCCTCGGACCGGAAACGGGTGGTCTTCGCCCCCGAACATCGGTGAGAGGACCCCCAGATCGTTCTCCAGTTTGATGCAGGAGTGTGAAAGCGTTTGGCAACTTGGTGTTGGGACCCACTGTGGCCACTGGTTCGTTGCGAAGCTTCGCAACGGCACTGAGGTTTTACAGTGCAAAGGAGCAGAAGATTGTCCAACACCACTATGCAGGGACTTGGTGGAGAGAGCCCAAGAAACTCTAGCCTTTGCTGGCGAGCTCAGTGCCTGGTATCGTGTCACATGAGTCAATCAATCACCGATTATTTCATATCTTGCGGGTTCTTGGAAATACAAGCTGCTACCGTCATTATCAAACTGTCATAGCAAGATCTAACAGACAGAGGATAGTGGCTACCACATGTACGTTGATCACTTTAAGTTTTTGTAGCACGGAATTGAATGAACCAGATCCAAATCCTTTGCAGCAAGTCAAAGGCACAAATTGGATCAAATTGGTACAATGGTGAGAGCTCTTCGACGGCCGGCGTCTGAAAAAAGGCCGACGTTTGTCAAGATCCCCAGAGAATCAGTCAAAAGCGCTGATTTGGAGTCACGCCAAGGAAAACAGCAAAGTGCGTTTGTTGCCGGGATCCTCGAGCTATATTGATGCAATCCTGCAACAACCCGGAGCCGCCAAAACACGTGAATACATAAGAACAATAATCATCAATAATCATAAATATTGCACTGTTCAAAGTGCTGCAGATTTGGTTCCTTCGGGTTCCTTTAGCCATACTATATACTCTACACATCATTACACTTCACTTGCTTTTACCATCATCTACCTCTCAACCCATTTGACTGAAGAAGTATCACTAATATATGCACTGGTAACAGCAATAGGAACTACAGCCTCCTGTGATTACCCTCGTAAGCCACACCTAAATCCGCTTTGGTGAGGTGGGTGGAGCCCACCGGTGGAGCCCACGTAGCAATCTTGGAAAGACCTTCCCACTACCTGGACCCTCAATTTCCTGGTCAAAAGTCTAGTGCCAAAATTCCGTAGTTGGGGTCATGTTTGGTCCTAAAAACCACCGTTTGTATCCATTTGTCCTATCCTAGTAGGTACGTACATGTACCTACCCACGAACTACCGGCTTTGCAGATGACCGAACATTCGTTGGCTCTTCTGGGGCAAAAGAAGAAATCTGATTAGATGGTGAGCATGAATTCCCCATTCCCTCCCCCACTTCACCAGGTCCTTCGCCCGGTCTTCGCCGATTCCCAGGTCCTTCGCCATGAGGACCTCCATCGATGGGAAGGTCCAGGGTCCAGGCACCTTTGGCTTCCAGGCCGGGAGCAGGTGGCCGGGAGCTCGAAGGTTCAGAGCTTCGATGGCGACATCAAGATGTCCGACAGGGTCCTGTCGACGAGCCCAGTTGAACCACCCAACTTGGGGGAACTTGGGCCATGTACTCTGAAACCATTGTGAAAACGAAAGATGCATTGTCCTGGTTTAGTGAAGAGCCCTTGGTAAAACAATGATGGTTTGGTCAAGCCAATTGTTGTTGGAATGCCAGGGCAACCAATGGAAGATGCACCAAAACAGTCAAAATATGTGGCATTCAATAGCAAGTAAACAAATGTAAACAACCCCCCGTTGGTATATGGAACGCTTTTCGTTGGCTTATCGCCACTCTGCAAAGATGTGCAATCAATCAACCATATCAAAACATAGTTTTCCCCAAGGGGCAACGGGAAGCCAACGGGCAGCCAACGGGCAACACCCTCAAAGTGTTCATGTTTGGATAGATAGTGTCACCCTAGCCTTGCAAGATCACTAAAGGCAAGGTTGACCTGACCTGCTTTTGTAGTCTAAAGATTGTTGGTAAAACAATGGTTGTTTGGGATGCAGACCATTCAACCAATGGTCGGCCAGGAAACCCCAAGGGATATAATCCAGATATCATCGACGGGTTGATTGGAGCAGTTCGAAAAGCAGACTGACTGCGGAGGCGGTGTTTCGATTCGGCGTGTTGATTTTCCCCAGAGCTGCAACCACATCCTCAGAAGGTAGTTGGACCATGTTAGACCCCAAAACCTACCACAACCACCTTCTCAGGGTGGTTGGAGCCCTAGGGTTTTGTCAGGATATGGTGGCAGTCATGGAGGACCCCTCCTTGGTGAAGTACACTCCAAGGACGCCGAAATCCGTCGGCAGGCCGGTGACTTAAGGCTGTTCGTTTTGGGATGCGTCACCGGAATGGTGATCAATATTGGTTCGCCAAGCTCGCCAAGAACACAGCTGAAAGAGATGAGTGACATCTGAAGAATATTGAGGTTGGTGAACGAGGTGTCTTTGAATGAGTCTCACTCTTCAAATGAGGTGCTGGAGGGGACTGGACAGTGTGATACAGAATTCAATGGAGACCGCCTGAGACCAAAAGAATTCATTATGATTTAAGATTTGGTGCATTATTGCGGGGACTTTGGCAATATGGCTCGGGCTTTTCTTGAAGAGACGTCTTCCAAAGAGTGTGGTGGTTCTGTTTTGCCAGGTTGGCAGTGCCGAATGAGGCAGTGGCTCTCAGTTGTGCAAAGCACCATTTGACCATGACCATGTAGACCCTTGATGAATAAACAACCGTGACACAGATGGTTTTGCATCAACGAAAAATGGTGTTGCATCTCCATATGGTTCACTATAAACAACACCATATACAGATGAATAAGACCGTTGATGAATGGTTTTGCATCTCTAGTTCTGGGGGTTGGGACCCACCCTCAGCATGACCCAGGCCCGAAACAGCCCAAGCTTCCTGCTTCTCACATCTTGGTCCTTGGTCCCATGTTTCATGGCCTCGCCATGACCCAACTTGCTACAGTGGTTTCAGAGGTTCGATGGTACTGGCACCCCAAGATGTCCTGAACACATGGGAACCACCGACATTGGGGTCTGTGCCATCTACTCTCAATCCACTATATTTCGGTGTTTCCAGTTGTGGCTTGGTGATTTTTGCGCCAGGACTCCCATGAAGAAGCTCAGAGAGGCGTTTCATTCCAGGCCGATCGAAGAGTGGGAACCATATATGGGTCATGGGAACCGGGTTCTCGGTGGTGATCCGGCAACGCCTTTCGAAGTGTCCTTGAAGAGATGGACAGGCCCGGCGAAGAGACAAAAATGGACCAAAACCCTGTGGATGCTGAGAGATGGGAGCTCTTTGAGCCACAAGGCGCCTTCATGTCCCGGACCTTGAGGTTGGAGCTCGCAAAGCGCGTTCAACGACCCAGTAACCAAATGCCGATTCGAAACAGCCGCAGAAGCAGGTGCTTGTTTCCAACAGGAGCTGATGGGGTAACAGCAACGGATCCTGAAACTCTTCGGTTTAAATATCAACTTCAATTGCATCCCAAAAACAGAGATGTTCTCTCAAAAAAGCCTCATCCAGACTTGAACCCAGTCCGCTGCCGTTGGTCGCCGAACGGACGGAACACGGACGGATTTGGGTCTTCCTACGAAGAGACAAGAACATCGGGTGCTTTTTTTTTGGGGGGGGGCTTGTGTTTTTGGACAGATTGAGAACCCAAAGGAAAACCTAGAGAATCAAACACAAAGAAACTATATAATCCAAATTAAATCCGGGCCAAAAAAGGATCCCAAATTTGTAGATATCCTCAACTTTGTAGTGAGCTCGGGAGGCAGGCCAGTGCGCAGCAGAATTAAAAGGATCCAACAACTATCACGACTGCAAGTGGTATTCCCACTTCAGTACCTGAATGGGTGGACAAAAACGGATCAATTCTCAGTTTCCGTGTGATGTTTTCCCAGACTCTCCAGCATACCTGGGTGTCCTGTCTGGAGATCCCCCCAATCAATGAGTCTGAGTGTAGGGTCGTCCAGCCAGGACAGGTCCGGTCCTGTTCCAACCCCAGCCCTTCCACCCAAGCGGAGTCGCAGGTGGATTCATGGCTTGAACACCCAAGCACCCTGGAACCTCGGTCGTGCCTTCGAGGAAGGACTCATCGGAACCAGGAAGGTTCCTTTTCGGAGTCCTTAGGAGGTTCTGTTGTTCTTTTGTGTTTTTTGGTTTTTGCAATTTGTTGGCTATCTAGTCATGAAACTTGAGATAGCTCAAGGCTCAAGGCTTAAGTGTTGATGTGCTTGTTGCTTTCGCATGCTTTCGCCGGAGTGGAGGTTCTGGGTCTTTCCATGGGCCCGGGTGGGTTTTGCTGTCAGCCTCCTTCAGCCTCCTTCACGGTCGACATGGGGGTTCTTGCTTTGCATCTAGCAGCCACCCAGCCACGGAGTGATGCTGCTTCGAAGCACCTTAGGCAGCCTTAGCACCATTGATTGATGTGGTTTTGCCGAAAAACAACTTGTTTAACTCAGGATTTACAGTAAGAAACCTGGTCACCCTTTTTTCAATGGTCTTGGAAGACTAGGGGGAACGTGAATACATTATTGACATTGATGGCTCTTGAGAGTCAGCGATGTCAAGCCCTTTTGCACAAAATGCCAATCAGCAACCAGAGGGCAGAAGATGTTTGACAACTGCACATCTCATTTTGTCATCCAGGACTTTAAGTGACGTGCATTATGTCGTTTTTGTATGCAAAACATGTTTTCCTCTTTGGAGTGCTTAGTGGAATGATATAGGGATCCGGAATGGATTGCAAACACATGTTGAAAAGGGCACTCATTGATTCCTGAGGAATTTCGTGAGTGACTTTGTCACCAATCACTACAAGCTCTATGACAACTTCGGAGGTGCAGAGCGGGGATCAGCACACAGGAAATCAGAAGATTTAGTATTATCCAGAGTATGTTTGTTTGTAGGCAAGATTGCTTCCGGAGGATGTTAGAACCTGAGGAAACTCCAAATTATGTTTTCTTTCTATATATATAGGAAACATTCAGACATTTGGTCGGAGCATGCGACGCTGCGACATATTGGTGTTCTGTTTGTTGCCAGCTTGGCCGGAACAGGGGCTGGGTTGCAACCCCTTGGGCAAACACGACTTGCTCCGTGCCACTGGGCATACCCCCCTTCGGAAATTGGCTCAAATCCCCAGGACTTCTTATCGCCCCCTTTCTAAACCACCAGTTGGGATTTGAAGCCAAGAGCTTCTACATGGGACATCAAGCCATATATTCAGAGTCTGGACCCCACCCAAATAGACGAGCGGCAGCACCAACCTCTCGTGGTCCTCTTCGTCGGCGTTCGTGCAGGTTTGCCGTGGTTCATCGGTGAGTACGGCGCCAATGGGCAGGCGGAGTCTCTGATCATCTCTGACTTGGAGCCACCGGGTCGCGAAAAAGCGCAGGAAGGGGGGTGTGGTATGTAGTATTGGGATGTATTGGGATGTATTGGGTATGACAACCAGTTAGAGGTGGGTTGTTCCCACACTTCAGGATTTCCAGGTTCACATGTGCCGCTGGCATTTCAGGGGATTTATTCACCTGCGCTGGCTGGATCTGAAATTGATGTGTGCCCAGGTGAACCCCACCGATCTTGGTCGGGTGGTGTCACTCAACCATGCCGACTCGGAGACCAAATCGACATCAATCGACCATCGCACTTCGCTCAAAAAAGAACCGTGCAGGCATCTCCGTTTTTCGTTGCGATGCCCTTGTTCCGTTCGTAGCTTCTTGCTACTCGTAGATCCTGCCAGGAGCGCCCCCGTTCGCTTCGGCGTCCTTTCTCGCTCCGGTTCGTCACGATGGTCGCCGATGGCTTTCGATCGGTCCGGGACGGCGATGGATGGCCGATGGATCTGAGGTCCATGGACCAGAAGGCCGCCTCGGATGAGAGACTTCGGCGAGGATGCAGCTGAGGTGAACGAAACGAAACCCCCAGCTCAGCGAAAAGAAGTGGAATCAGAACTTGAACATAGATAGACCGACCTGGAAGCCTGTGAACAGGGCTACCGAAAGGCAATCATATATGTGTGTGTGTGTGTGTTCAGATTCAATGTGATTGTTATGTATTTTGTCAACCCACGGCAGTAGAAGTGTTGTCATAATTAATTAAAAGTGATCCTGGAGCTGTTTCGACCCGTGTGCTTTTCCAAAAGCACCCTCCCCGGACAAAGCACATGCTATTCCAGTTCAAAGGCAAGCGCATTTTTTGGTATCGATGGATGTGAAAAGGTGGCACGCTGTGGTGAACTACTAGCGTTAGTGAGGCCTCCGGACAATTTGCTCAAAACATCATGGGACAAAAGGGTGGTGGGTTTGCCGAAAGTGGTTGTTTTATGTTGTTTTGATGTTTGTTGTGCAGTTGCCCTAGGGCCCTGGGGTTTAGGGCGACCTGCAGCAGTATTGTCAAAAAGAGCGACCAATTGTGGTTCACTATGGTTTAGTGCCAGGCACCAGGAGCTCCAAAGATTTCCAAAGAGGTTCTTTTCGGACTGGAGGTGGAATAGTAGGCACCCCTGCCCTTCAACAGCCAGTGTATCCTGTATATAGTATATATCCGTACATATCAGTATTGTATATCTATAACTGTATTATCATATATATTCATATCAGGATTACAATAGTAGAAATAGTATAATAGTATAGATCAGTATTATATCTAAAATATATATTATACAAAACATATATATATATATCATTTGCTGGGCTTGCGGGGCGATCGAGGAAGTTCCTGGGGTCGGCCTTCTTCCAGTTCCAGACGGCCTACAGTCACTCGGTCGGCCTTCAACCGCGAGGATCGCTTGGCGAAGACCACATTTCCAGACCTCAAAGCATCACTGAATTGAGCAACAGAGTTTGAAAAGAGCTTCAATGAGCATTGTAAAGATTTGTAAAACTAATACCATGTAAGCACCTCATACAGCATGAGACACCGTTGTATGACATAAACTCATATATGATCTCTGATGAACCTTAAATGGATGCTGGGGCACTCTATGTTTCACTCGCACATTGACTTATGCATCCTTATTGCCTTAAGCTTTTCTCAATCATATTCAACAAATTACATAAATCATGTTTCATGCAACCACCACTGCCAAATGGGTGTGTTCTATTAGCCATGTTTTTCCAGCAGCTAGCAGCTCCCAGGCTTTGAGGCTGAATGGCGCACGGCGCACAACCTCCGGTGGTCAATGCACCCGCAGTGATCCACCAAGGCAAAGGCGGCTCCGAGCTGAACTTCGGGTTGTTCAGCATCGGAGACAGGCCGGCCAGTCCGGGCGGTTTGGCGGTTTAGCACGTGTTTGGCGTATGATACGGGAAACAAGGGACGTTGTGATGGACATAATGACCATCTACCAAGATCTACCAAGTATCCCTTTCCTTAGCTCGGATTTGGAAGCTTCATGGAGTTTCTGTTCTACTCATTCATCAGACAGTTTGAGGGTTTGGATGGTGGAAGGGAAGATGCTGATTCATCATCTCTTGACTTTCTGTAGGATGGACAGTGCAGCGGGACTCCGGACGTTACAGCGATCAAAGGCGCCCTGCTCCGGCAGATCAGACCCGCCTGATCTCCCAACATGGCGCCTCCGGCGTCTCTGTGGAGCGTGGGAGGTTCAAGTGATTCAAGTGGTTTAAGGCAACAGAACCTTTATGACTCCATGTCACCTTCCTCCAGCATCCGAAAGAGAAACTCCATGTCACAGGCACCATGAATGGTCACAAATACGGAGGTGATTGATGAGCCCAGAGTTTGGAAGGAGGATGTTCGGCACCAGATGAACAACACAAGGACCACCTTGGCAGGACCACCGGGCATCCAGTGGTTGGCACGAATTCCCACCGCAAGGACACCATGTGTCTAAAATCCGTCATGGAGCTTCCTTGACCTCCGACCATGTCTATCAAGAGAGGTTAAGTGACCTTATAGGACCCTACTGGGGTACCTATGGGCCTATGGGATAGTCTCTAGGGTCATTCAACCTTTGCTGGTACCGTTTGCGCCGCGCTGCTCCACACGCCAATCTGCCGGTGGCAGGAAGATCGGCGAGACAGGCGAGGTGTGTGACAAGAACAGCCATTGCAGGACATGGCCAGTGGCTTGGTGGAACGCCCTGGGCTGTTGGGCATCGTCGCGAACCAAGGCGGCCGGTGCGTGGTGCGTGAGTGAGTTGGTAAGTGCGTAGTGAATTTGAAGAATTTGAAGTGTTTATTGGGGTCGATATGTTTTGAAGGGTGTCCCCTTGGACAAGTGCATCAGAGTGTGCATCATGATGCATCATGTAAAGACGTTGAAACCATCATCGTATTGATCCCGTGATGTTTGAGCTGTTTACTCCAAATGTTCGTGACATTGTGCCAGACCCAAAACACGCCAGATACCCCAGCTCAACCACCCCAATGTAGGCAAATATACAGTAGCAGTCCAGTGGTCGCGTTTGGGAAAGTCATCGGATCCTTAGACGTCATGAAGGGCGATGAAGAGCTTCGTTAGTGCCTTGGACTCCTTGGACATTGGAATGTACAAGTAGGGCATATATGGCGCCAGTATGCATCAGTGGAGTGTCATTGTGCCACCTGTCAAGTCATCCCTCCGTGGATGCCTAGTCAGAAACAATCTGCCGTTTCACCATGTTTGCATTATTTTGCTATATTTTGCTTCATGTTCAATGAAGAGCGGACCATTAAACATCATCAGTTGCAGGCTCATCAATGTGGTGGAAAAAATTGGCTACCAGAAGCTGACAGAAACAATTTACTCAGAACCATTCTTGTAGGAACGCCGGGCTCGCGTGATTGGCTGCCAGATAAATGCAGCATAATTCAACAGGTCCAGAGGTGGAATCACCATTAAAGGTGCAGTACTGTCATGTTTGTTTGGCCTCGGGCACTGTGAAGGTTATAAATGGCGGTACCAACATGGGTGGATGTGCCACTTTGGGGTCACTCCAGTGGCGCGGGGTGTAGCTGTGGAGCTTCAACTACTCTCCAGCCATCCCAATGCCAGCTGTAACTGTAGCTGTACAGCACTATCGACCCATCACAAGAAAAGCTCCACAAGAACTAGGGAGTTTCACCACTGAAGCAATGTCTCCCTAAGGAGGATCGTGATCAGCTTGGTACTACAGGGCCATAGGGCCAGTACAGAGCTGTTGCAGGACTCCCTTCTTTGCCATCCAAACTGCACAATAGGGCTTAAGGCGTGCAGGTGGGGCGTGTCCCATACCTGTAACAGTGGGTAAAATGTTATCTATGTTTGAGAATGGTTTTTATACCAACCATCATCACTGGGTCCTGGGAATGGGATATACCTAAGACGCAGTACCTCCTGCATGGATCCCCTTCCAAACGGCCTTGACACCCCGATGGGAACCGCATCTACCGTGTTCTGTGCCACGGCTGAGGTGTTCTGTGCCTCGGCTGAGAGTAGAGCAGGGCGACATGGCGTCTTGAAGAAGGCCTAGGAGCACACTCGCAGCCAGTGGAAGAGCACCAGGATCCAAGAATATCCAACACATATCCAAACATCCTAAGGGAACATGTCTATGATTTTAAGATGCATTTGCATGCATTTGCATGAGGGCGCCTCTCCTTGGGTGCCGGACCTGTGTGAACCGCACTCAGACCCAGCATCGACCAGGTGTATGGCACTTTTTGAGCATCGGATGAGAGGAACCTGTGGATTTGACCGGCAATGCAGCAATGCAGACTATTGATTTATTGTAATTATGATATAATAGATGAGAACGCACCTACCATAAATGCCGCTACATCACCATAATGGGGGGGCTTTGTTGAGCAACATTCTACATGAAGCAAATGTTTACGCTGTTTACCCATTCTTCCACGCTGTTTGGTCAAGCGATGCCACGTGTTGGATTTGCAAACGGGACAATGGTTTTCAACTTGCTGCACCACTGGACCAGCGACTGAAAACAGACGTGGCTGCCACCGTTTGATCCAACTCATGCGCGGGCGATGTGAAGTTGTATACGGTCGCAGCTATATAGTCACCTTCAACTAGTCATCATCGCTTTCCAATCTTGGAAGCAGATTCAGTGGTTGAATCCAATTTATGTGCTTACCCTTAACCAGAGCAAATCCGCTGGAGCTGTCGGGAGCTGTCGAGCTCCCTCGGCTCGACAGCTCGCTGTCGAGCTCCCTCCCCGCGCCAAGCGTCCGTCCGAGCGAGCATGGCGCCCACGGTGGGCGGCACTCGTCCACAGTTGCTATACATGGGCTCTAGGATGTTCTAGGCACTATACTGTTAGTAAGGCATGCAGAACATATTTAGGAAGAACATGTCTTTAGAAATGATGTTCTAATAGTCTTTATATATGTATAATATTTAACTATACTTGTTTGCAGCTATGGCCTGTCCAGGATGTTCCACCTCGTAAGGAATGGTTAGGGTGTGTGTATCGAGAATAGGGAGGCCACGCAACTTGTGTTTTGTTTGTTGATTTGTGATGCCCGCGTCCACCGTCCGGCACTTCCCTCGAATCTGTAAGAGGAAGGCCAGGCCAGACTTGAAAATTCTGGTGGATTGCGGCGAAGATTCATGAAGATTTCAAAATGAACATGCAACATGCATATTCTCCAGCAATGGAAGTACATGGGAAATACAAGACAGGTAACAACTGTTTAATCCTTCTCATCCTCTCAAGATTTCACAAATTGTGCTTGGGCTGTGGAGGGGCTCGCAGATAATCATAGCTTTTAGCCTGAGGTTTGGGCACCAAGCTGCCTTGGTTCGAGAACCAGCCAGCTTTGGGGAAGCGGGCTCAGGCGCATAGCACGTGCGACGGGCGCGCGTGCGTGCTCGCGCGGCAGGTTGTTGTCTAGATTTGGATACGTTTCCTATCTTTTCCCAATTATCAATCGCACCTGGACCTTCAAAGGGGTGTCGAATGGAGATCCACAAGTCGTGTAATTAGAGTATTTAATTTTTCATTTGAGACCTTGCAGAAGGAGCCGTTAGTTTGCATCTATAGTGACTATAGTGATTCCGTGTGTCAGCTTGCAGAAGACTTTCCAAATGTGTCGGTGACCCACCCGAGTGTCGGACCTCCAGTTCTATTGTTTCATGTGTCAACATCATGTCATGTCTAGACTTCAAGTCTTTTCCCATGCCGGCAGTGAACGTTTCGCAGGTTCCAGCCCTGACATGCAAAAGGTGTGCTTTCGGTGCTTCCGAGTTACAGTAGTTTCTTGCTACGGTCGTAGCGATGGCCTCCAAGCTACTTGCGATGGCGAGCATAACGTCCTTGTTACTGAGTGCAGTACATCCTCGGGCCCGCAGCTCAGGCCCTGGCCACAGCCTGGGGAGGCATCGCCGAAAACTCCTGCTGAGCAAGATCGAGTGGTGCCAGACGATAGTTATACCGATATACTGTAGTATACGTTAACGAAATGTGTGTACGGAGTTTTGTCTAGATCCACTGGGCTACGATAGATTAGAGCAATTCGATTTTTGTTGTTGGAAGACGCTGGACTTTTGACGGCGCCAATATTGCACGACCCGTTTGATTATTTGCAGAATGGAGTAAAGCCCCTAAAAAGGACGCATCAGTGTGGCAGATGAAGAGACATATGGAGCTGTGACCGATGGCTTCGAGGAGACCCTATAAAGCTATGCTTTTTGGGGAGCTGAGTCTTGAGTCCAGCCATCTCCAGCCTTCCAGTTTTCGTCCTGATCAAAAGTGTCGGGCCAAATCTGGTTTTATACAGAGCCAATGTGAAGAGCAGCTGGCCGAACATGCAGCGTAAAAGCTGCCACAGGCCGAGTGTACAGGTTCCGAATTCGAACAAACAACTCTTGGACACTTCCAGAGCCCCAAAGATTGGAGGTTCTAGTTCGTGCCCCCTGTTAGAACACAACAGACCAATAGCAACTTGTGGCAAGCGGAACTTTTTCTCAGTCCAAGAATCCGCGTTTTCCGAGGGCCTTATGTGACCAAAAGGAGCCCTGCACAGCCGAACGAGCTGTGTTAACAGGAGCTTCCAGAGAGGTCGGCCTTAAGTTTTGCGTCTGTCAATTCGCAGATGAAGGGCGAAACTGACTCTTCAGGAGCCGTAGGGAGCGTATAGTGTTCTTTTTCTTGTGTGTGTGCATGTTTTCTACACAACATGCGTTAACATGTGCCGCGCGGATCGTTTTTGTTTCTTGGTGTGTCCCGCACCCTTCTCTCGGTGGCGAGGTATGACGCCCCTGAGTCTTGACCGCTTCCCTTTATCCCCGTAGTTGGCTCGAAGACAAACTACAACAGACGTGCCTTGACGTAGACATGATATGCCGACTGAGAATAGCCCAAAGTCCTTCTGAATGTTTGTGTAAGAAATAAATCATAGGACACTTTATTTGGACTTGAACCAAGGGCTTGCTCGGGTTAAGATAAACCCAAATACATAGACCTTGAACATATTGAACTTAATAGTGATGGGTGGTTGCGCTTTCCGTAGTTCACCCTGAGTTTGTGCTAAACGAATGGGGGGGCCTCTAAAGTAAATTACCACCAGAACACAATTATTGGATTCGTGGGAGGATTCATTTTGCAATTGGTTATAGTATTTATGTTCCTTTCATAGATTGCATAATTCCATAACGGGCCTTTGCTTTAGTAGAGATCTCAGGAAAGGATGCTATCCCTTGGGCAACAACCCATGTTTCAGATATTACAAAAGGGATCCCCAAAAAAGCTTGTTTAATGTGTTAGCATTAGTTAAGACAAGCTTACTAATCAGGATCCAACATTAGCCACACCACTTTGGTCATTTTTGCATTGACATGTGGATATTTTGTTTGGTTGATTTACTTTTCTGAGAAACGTGCTTAATATAGATTTTAGATGTATGAAGTTATGGTGTGCAGGGTAGGAACATGACTATTCCTGTTTGGCGGCAGTGACTCCACAGGGTCTGCACACTTTCACTAGAGTGCATTTGTATGTATATATTTGTGTATGCCAACCTACTCCACAGGCTCAGTGACTCAGTGAAGATGTTTGGGGTCCATGCCAGGCAAATACGGAGCGCACAGACAAAGAATACAATCAAGTTTAAGCAGGGTCAATATGACGATGTTAGTCATGGAGATGCGGGCCAAACAAATGCGCACCTCTGATGTCAGAGAAGGATTAGTCATTATTGTAACTGCAACCAATATAGTTGTCCTTGTTTTTTCGTGTGTTTTTTCTGCGGCCAGCTGACTGAATTGGTTGTTCCTGTCGTGGTGCTAGTGTTGGAGTCTGTAGGCTAGTGGAGTCCATGGTAGGCTCCTCGTTTCGAGTGCCGTTTCGCCTGTTTTTTGCATGCTGCTGGTTTGTCCAGCTATAGGCCTCGGAGTGGGACTGGGTCCAGGCTACGCACCATCGCCCTCGAACTGGGTCGACCGGGGAAGTTTTTAGGTCCAGGTCCGCTGGGTCGTTTCCTGACTTGGGATGTCAATATCTGAGATGGGCCCAATCCCCAAAGATTCAATCAATTGGAATGAGGGATGAGGGAGGATGAGGGAATTTCACCAATCCCTTTCTGGGGAATCTCATGCCAACCGGGCGGCGATCCGGGCGCTTGAATTCAAGGATGGTTCTTTGGCCCCAGGGGCTTGGGATGCACACCGGCGTCGCCTCAGCCCTTCGCCCACACCGTGACGCGCCCAGCACGTCGATGCCCACGCGTCAGCGCGTCAGCTCAATGCGTTGAAAGAGCTGAGGGGAGGACTTGAGTGATACGTGATACGTCATGCGTGTGGAAGACCCTGTGATGTTCTAGAAGTTGACGAGAATGGGGTTGTGACATAATTAGAGGTGTCAAGGTTCTCGAAGGTCGAAGAACCACCGCCCCTAGATGGAGGTCTCGCTGACCCCACACGAAGAACCGCTGGAGATCTTCATCGGCCGCTCCCAGACGCTCCATGCGGGGCGTATTTTCCATAGTATTCCGTTTGCATATATAGTATATTTACCTGTCACTGTATTGTGTGGGTTTCAGGGATCACTGTAGGCAATATATAGATATATGCTTCAGTCCTGTGGATTATGAATTGTAGCGTTTCAATCCAACCAGCAAGGTAGTCAACGAAGACCTGTTTTCACCTGCCAGGCCTTGTGCAGGCTGGAGGATCGGCAAGCCGAAGAGGCCGGTAAAACCAAGTGAAACCTTGGTCAATGGGAAAGGATGGACGAAGTGGCTCATTTGCAAAACCTTTGTAGATTAATTAAGTATAAATAGATGTCCTACTCAAAAGATCTCAAAAGGACGATGCAGAGAAAGGCTGTATTTATTTTCTGGGGGGACACTGAAGTAATGCTGAGCTGCTGGATCTTAAACATTAAAAAGGCACCTCTTAGCAAACAATTGAGAGAGAGAGAGAGTGAAGAATAGCGTCAATCCCACCAAAACAATAATATATAGTAGTATATATATAGTATATAAAGAGGAGTAGTAGTACAGCAGTAGTAGTAGTAGTAGTAGTAGTAGTAGTAGTAGTAGTAGTAGTAGTAGTAGTAGTAGTAGTAGTAGTAGTAGTAGTA